CTCTCTGCCCCTCCCTGACTTGTGCTCTGTCTCTCTGTCTCTCAAAAATAAATAAATGTAAAAAAAAAAAAAATTGAAAAAAAATCAAAAACCTATAAGACACCTGGCTGGTGTCACAGAATTGAAGGGTGTGGGAAAAGCCCATGTATCTGGTGTCAGAAGGGAGGCATTAAAAGGAGAGACAAGTGTTTTTCCTCTACTAGATGGAAACTCCCACACTCTCTGGTGCTCTCTCATGCTCACAACACTTATTCATACAAACAGGATCACTATACACTGTTTCATATTGTGCCTTTTTTCCCCTTAATACGAGTTCCTGGAGATCCATTCTTCTACATTAGCACATGGGATTTACCTCATTCATTTTAATGAATTATTCAACTATAGTCTGAATTGTTGGATATTATGATGTTTCCAGCTTTTTGTTCATAACAGAGAGAATTTATAGTTAAAAGGGCCCTGTATGATCATAGGTTTTATTCCCCTCATTGTAATTAAGATATGAGAGAGAGGATACTACATGGAATCCAAAACACTTATGAGTTACCAGTTCTAGAACCATCATCAATGAAATGATCGGCTGTGTTTCTTAGCAGATAACAGAGCAAAGTAGGTTTCAGACCCAGGCCTGTGTCCTCACCCCCAACCTTCCAGATCTTTCCACAGCACTGGATGCAGCTCTGGGCCCCAAACCTGCTCTTCTCCACTATCAACACCTAGACCCTTCAAACATCCCTTTTAAGCTGTTTCCAGACTCACTGTCAGAAATCCTTCTAGACAGAGTTTTTTAACTGTTACAAGCCATGTTTTCTCAACCCACTTGTGAAAATTGGAATCTGCTCACCTGCAGGTCGAAAAGGAACGGGGATCAGTTTGCTGTTGTCAGGATGCACTGTTGACTTCACAAGAGCAAACACAAGGGTCAGTCTGATGTTTGGTTTTGTTATCGTAGCAGGCTAAAAATTAGCAAGGGGCTGAAACTTACAAGACTTCTCTTCCAAGCTTCTTGTACCTAAAAAGAGAAAAAACAAGCAAAGCTTTTAAAGGTGAATTGGCAGCAAAAAAGAAAAAGAAAATCTCTCCAGTCTCATTTCTGGTGCCGCCTTTACTCCATCTTTCAGAGAGTGAAGGCCAGAACTGTTCAATGCCACATGGACAGAATAAATCAAAATAAATGAGTCAAGGGCGCCTGGGTGGCTCAGTCGGTTAAGCATCTGACGTCGGCTCAAGTCATAATCTCGCGGTTCATGAGTTCGAGCCCCGATCAGGCTCTGTGCTAACATCTCAGACCATGGAGCCTGCTTCAGATTCTGTGTCTCCCTCTCTCTCTGTTCCTCCCCCCTCTCACTCTCTCAAATATAAATAAATGTTTAAAAAAATTTTTAAAAATTAATCAAATGTATCAAACAAACAAATGAATTAACAATAAGCAATAAAATGATCCACAGAAAGAAAACAGCCAGAACATTAAAAAGTCCTAAATCTCCTACCTTGGAGAGGACTCAAGGCCAACACCTAACTTACTCTTCAGGTGAGTACCTGAATCTAGCCTGCCCCTGGTTCAGAGAAGAGCAGACAAGGTGATGCACCATGCCATTAGCCAAGGCACCTGCATCTGAGCCAGGCTGTGAGCCCAGAGGCCCTATCAAGTTCATAAACACACATACACACACACACACACACGCGCGCGCACACACACACACACACAC